ATTTGTCGAGTGTGTGAGCAACCCCTACGTAGTTTGACATCCTGCATAGTCCAACATTGCTATTCCTTACCATTGACTATACCCGATTGTTAGTGCGCCCTCTATTGTAATTGAGGAATTATTGTTATTCTCTGCCAGTGTATACTTGGGCAGTGCATTCGTTATTGTGTAAAAGATAATACATTTGTTGAAGCGATAGATATCACTCTGTGTCTTAGTTTGTTGTATGTTGTGGTGCTTGTATGTGGGTGAGACCGACGGGACATCTGGCGAACATACCCCTGGTAAATTGTACCCGTGCTAGTCTATTTCGAGAGATACTTATATTGTCGTTTCATTTTGACCTCTCTGTAAACTGGTAAGTAAAATGATTTTAGGCGCGAAAACAGCAGCCATAATTCACAGGCACTTTAAATGTTATCGTGAAAATGTTGTTGGCTTTCATGGCTATTTCCACAGCAAACAGCGAACACTATCCATGATATTCATCTGTTTCTCACATGACGGTGTGTAGACGTTCATAACAACACTAGGTTAAATTATGGAGCTAGCTCCATGGTTAAATATTATGGTAGGTTAAAATTTAACGTTTGAGTGGTACGTCACATGACAGGACTAATACTTACTTTTTTCTGTGGAACAGTTGCCCGAAAACTCTGGTATTCCGGAGATTTTGCCAGTAATGACATGACGTGAATCGAGCGTTTTATAACTCAATGACAAATAAATAGATAACAAAACGAAACATAAAAATAGTGTCACTTCCGGGTTTCTGAACTCGCAGTATACGGCATCAATTATGTCGCATCACAACATCATATTACGGCTACAGTATCCAGTCTTCTTTAACGTGGTCACTCTGGTTATATTTCGACAATACTGTGAGGATATTAGCAAAATAACCATGCCATTCAAAGCAAAGTTCTTTTCTCCTATGTTTTAACCCACTTCCTAACTTACGTGACCCCGTGTGACCAGACTCGAACAGATCAAATAGAGTTAGTAGCTAAATACAAAGCGTCCTTTCTAACATTATTAATAAGTGTTACCAATAAACTGATTTACAAATATTTTATAAGAGTGATGTAAAATAATACTTTTTCAGTAACCTAATCTATAACAATTTATGTTAGCTTGTCAGTACAGTGGCCGAACGAGGTGGGAGAAGTATTTCCCACACTGCTCTCTCTTAGTGTGACGTCATACTTCAACATCGATGGTTTGATCAAAATGGTGGGTGTTGTACTGTGAAGTTCCGATCATGTTCATCGCAATATTTTTACGTTTCCCATTGTACATGTGATGCCCAATTTGTTTAATTGCAATTGTTTACACCCACTGTATTACCATATAATGTAATATACTTTTATGCGCCGCTTTAAACGTTATTTTAATTACGTTTTTTTTTTTGTAGAGTTACTTCTTGAAAGGTCTGCCTTCGTACAACGAGACCAACTTCACGAGATTTCACTGCGACTCAACCAAAACATCTGTAAGTTTCACATTTCTTGTTAATTTCGACCGTTATATTCATGTTCGTATCGGAGGTCCTGATTGTGGTATGCTTTTCTTATTCGCAGAATCGAAGGCCGACAGTTTATCTTCCGACAACGGAATACCCTTCTGACCAAGGTTCGTATATGAGTTATTATGAAACTCTAAATTACAGCCTGGAAGTATTTTTTTGCTTCCATGGTTGCAATACTTGTTTTTGCATAAAAAAGACCGCTTTAGTCTAGTGTGCGTGTTTAGTATTCTGGTCACGTATCTGAGACTTGCATTACCTGTTGAATCATAGTCTTCAGATTGTTGAATGATAAATCATCTAGCACTAAAATAAATAAAATTGACCATTCTGTTCCAAGTTTTCCCTTATAACAATGTTGAACATGTTCCATGTAATTTACATCGCATTGAAAAACTGTCCTTAGTTTACATTGTACACAGTAGTGCTATAGCATGTGATTGTAAATAGACTCCAGTTACTGAACACCTAAACTCTTATTAAATTATTTCTACAATTGGAGAAATGAGAATAATCTGGGAGAATATCGCATAGTATGTACTCAGGTAGTAGTGTATTGCATCAACTGATAATGTGTATCGATAAGATTGTCGTATATGATGTACTACCCTTATATATACATTGAGGTTTTATCGTGATATCTTCATGATACTTGCAGGCTGCAGCTAGACACTGGTTTCATGGCTTTATTTGGTACACTGTTTTCTCCCATTCACTTAGCTATCTGTGAAGGCTTTCAGCAGACTTCTACCTGTTTTAGTCAAAATATCAAAAATATATATTGTGTTTGTTCTACTAGAAGCACATCAGCAGTATATACCAAAAATTGCATTTGTTGTATACTGAATCATAAAAAAAATTGCGCATTTTAACCAAGTTTTTACCTCCTTAATATACCTTACTGCATGCATTACGAATAGAGCAAATATGGTGTAGTTTATATGTACTTAGCACGAACCACATGTTTAAATAGTTGATTTAACCATTATTGGCCCCAACAGAGGACACAGTCAGAGGTGTCACATAAATCTGAAATGCATGATCAGATTTGAGCAAAATTTATGGGTATTTTAGATAAAATAAGTAATTTTTGGTCTAAAATAGACTGAAAATGATGTTTTTGTCTGTTCTTAGCAATGCATTGACTAATTTTATTTAAACTTCACATGTAGGTAAAGCACAATACATATTAGAAACAATTTCACAATCAATGTATATTAAGAATTTCTTTTGGGGGTCAAAAATAAGGTGAAAATAATGTTTTGCATAATATTGACAATGCATTGATCAATTTCATTCAAACTTCACAGATAGGTAATACACAATACATTACATGTTGAACACAAAAAGAAACTAACTAGAAAAAGCAAAAATATGTGTATATGTAGGTACATCATAAATGTTTTTTATTGCAGTGCTGTGTCACTTCATAGAATGAAACACTTATCATTGTATTTGTGCAAGTGCTCATATGTTTGCATTGGTCCACATCTGTATCTCAGACATGGATACATTGCACGTTTATTCATTTCATTGGCAAATTCAAAGTGGACGATTGGTGGCAAAATATTTATTAATTCAAGCATTTCTGTCTTTTTGACTAATTTTATTCAAACTTAGTACATGCATTTAACATTGTAGGACATTGATGCATGTCACTTTGTTTTACAGAATGTACTCGAAAAGGCAGACTGATGGCAATTTTGTTTTAACGGATGCTGTTTCTGATTTGCCTCATTTATCATGGGACATGTTTACACATGTACTTCTATAGGAACTTGCAATAAAAGCGACAGTCACTTGTTTTGATTTTAAAAGCGTAAATAAATTCTTGTATACAATTATTGTATACTATTATTGTATTACAATTGAGGATTAAATTGCATTCTTCTATTTTCTATTCATTTTCTGTGTTCTAACTTCAGGCAATGTATCAATTTGCTTTAGGTTTTGGAGGATGAGCACTATTGCTGATTCTCAGTTTGGTTAGGGCAGCTTTAAGTTTTTTTTAACCACATTAAAATATTTCTCCATACTAAAGTGTTCATTGAATAGGTATAGGTGTATATTCTAAAGCTTATTTATATGGTTTTTGCTTTTATTGTCAATATGTAAATATTCTTTGCATTGATCTTGGAATAACATTTTAATCTATGTAATATTGTAGATGGTGGATTTTACTACTCCCTGTTACATTCATTTGCTTTCTGTTATAGTGATTACAACAGAGAAAACGAATATACTGCTCAGATATCTTCATCAACAATGGGATAAAAAGGTATAGTTACATGTATGTGTAATCATTTTGAATACGTGTCATGCTGTGTATATCTTGATATATTTATTTCTAACTAGACTTATTAATTCATATATAAACCAGAAATAATGCCAGAGATGCAGGTTAATTTTATATATGGCCATGGTGCATAATATTCACTTTAGTGATGTTTAGTGTGAAATAACACTGATATTTAAAATTAAATACTGTGAAATGCATACTTTTAAACTTCGTTCGTTTGTGTGTGCTTGAACCAGTATACTGAGTAAACCTAATTGTCTGACGGTGTAATTTTTATTATTGCGATATTAGAATGAATAACAATTACTTGCAATAACAATAACTCATAATGACTGAAAGGTTATTTCAAAACGATATCAACACAAGGGTGATGTCTGCCAGTTATCCTCTCGCCTTTTAATAGGTGATAACTACATAATATATTTATATCTCTGTATAGTTTCATGCAACATTATTTAATGGATTTATCATTTTTTCAGAATTTACATAAGAAAAGAGACACAACAAATGCCAATTTAGATGCTGAAACAGCTACTCCAAGAAAAATGCAACGACTAGATTTCAATGCAGACAACAATGACTCGTAGCGATAGGAGTACACAGAAATATCTCCATGATCCTTTGGTACACGTATCCCAAGATGCAATATACCCCATTGTATACTGCAAGCGTGAGTGGACTAGAATCGTGTTGACAAATGAATATGGGAATCAGTATTACCACTGACAATGCATACTTATCCAAAGTAAAGACAACTATTTATATGTTAATTTTAATTAAAGCAGTCTAGTGGTACTGAGTTCATGTTTTAACTAGCTGACCAGTTATTGAGGTTGTCAGTGTGCAGTGCTTGAGCGCAGCATCAACATTTCTGGTCATTTGTGTTGGAAAGAAAAAAAGGATGTGTACATTTGTAAAGGGCATTATTATTTTAGTTTCTCCAAGCTGAATGTGTGGGACTCATCTGTCTGTACTGAGTTTCAAATACAATGGATCCTTGTACATTGCAGAGTAACTGCTTATTGAATACCTAATTAGCCTATGATAAACTTTATATCCTGTATTGCATTATGATCCAGAAATGTGTCTAATAGTATGAATGAAATAATATTCTAAAGCATGTGTAAACAAATATTTTTGTATATTACTAGTATGCCATGTAATATTGTTATCCACATCTTTAATTGGATGGAGAAAAGTTTATACCATGTATTATTAGTACACCTTTCTCAGAACACTAGTCTTAATTTAAATTGCATTAAGTTCAGAAAACCTAGATTTGCTAATGTTGAATTGTTTTTCGTGATGTCTAAACTGACACTGTTCAGGAGTAGACACAATTATGGGCTTCCATCTTATTGTATTTGAACCCTTCAACTGTGTGCAAACCCTTATGTGGTCACGTTTGTATCAATGGTTATGTACATCTTTGAAGAAGAAAAAAAAATGTTAGTTCTGTTTGAGTTTTCCTTGTTAACATGAACAAAAAATAGTCACAATCCGAACTGCAGTGTGAATAAAATAGTACACGACAAGAGTTCTGTGATAAAGGTGCTTTTCCACTTGAGACTTGTTATGGTAATGTGAATATTGTATTTGCTTTATTAGATGCGTCTCAAACAGAAGTGCTCATAAACCCCAAATTACATTAGGATGTGGATATGACTGGATCACTCATTTTGACCACACTCTACATACTCCCCTAATATGAGAAAATATGGTAGAACAGAGCACTCATATGTAATGTGTTTAAAGCTATGTCGTTTCAAATTATAAAACATCTGATCAAACTTGGTAGTGCATGATTACCAGGGAAAGGCTTTTATTAGTGCCTGAAAATGTTTGGGCATGGAGCGGTATTTGTTTAATGGGTGGGTGAGAAGGGTGGGTGCGGGTAATATGATATGACTGGTATGAAGCTTCTTATTCTAACCTTGGGTTCAAGATAGTACAAATTACATTTTCATCATTGAAAATAACACTGGATCTGAGCTCTAACACTAGTTATTCAACAACAACATTCAGTTGTAGCAGGACTACAAAGAAAGCCACTTTGTGTGAAACAGATTCTTCTAAAGATGTTCTAAATGTGTGGTCAGACTCGTGATAACACCGGTATTTATTGATAATGTGGATAACATGCAAGAATAATAATTGTAAAAAGACCTTACAAATGAACTGTAGATACTGTATGCTATTATGTGGTTTGGTGTATACAGGACCAACTTAGTCTAAAAATTGATATATTAGTTGTTTTACAATACAAGTGAACTTATTTGAGGAGTATTCCACTGCCAAATTTGTATCAATGACTATGTATTTACATTTTTCCATATTTTAAACAAAATGAAAATAATGTTGGATGTTACAGCAGAATCACTTTGGTTCAGATAACAGAACTGTTTGTATTCTTTTATTGTTTTTTTTCTCTACTAATACATTCTGTCTTGTATTAAATTTTTTGTTGCCAGAACTCTGCATACTTTAACTTGGTATTGAATGCATTGTCTCACCCCCTCTGTGTAAAGATGGGAGAAGATGGTTATTCAAGCCTATATTTTTAAAATTTAGTCTGCATTTTATGTTCTGTATATAAGCATATATTAAACTTTTTTTTTTCTCTCTTGAGAATTGTTTCATTACTTCATCCTCAAAAATTCTCAGTACCCTGAATACGCGAGTCTATTTAATTTGGCAGTAACCAATTAAGCAAGCACGTTTTGTGTTCTACAGTACAAACCACGCATAGTGCATGATGTTTTGTGCAGAATGGCAAAATAAAATGCAATGAACACTCAGTTCAGCCGTCATAGAAGTAGTCATGTCTGTTATTCTGTTTGTTGTACATTTTCATCAAATAAATTTATAGAAATGCAGTCTTTTTGACATTAACAGTTTCTCAGACTTGGCCAAACTTTATATTGACATTACTCATGGTGGGTGCTGATGCACATGATTTTGTTGTGTGATTTGATTCTAAATGGCAGACTGGTGTCGCTCTCCCAAAATTATCTCGTTTTTTTCTTGTACTTTAATAGATATTGTTTGAATTTTGGACAGACAAAATGGGTATTTTAAAATTTTGATTAATGATTAATTATTTTTGTCAAAATTAAAATCATTTTCTTTCAGACTTGCCGGTAGTAGGAATTGTCGCACAATAGCTGATGCACTTTGGTTTTTTTTTGTGATTTGATTCAAAATGAGTGACTGATGGCCATATTAATTTTATATTTGTATGTGTCATTACATAAACAGTTTCTTAGATCTGCTTTGACCAATTTATTACTTCAGAGTAGGTACAAAGACAAAACATAATAGTATACATACATGTATACATGTTTATTTGTTTTTATGTTTGATGACCTCTGACTGATCTGTCCTAAAAATAACATTTCACCATCATTTCTCTGCCATGTCTTGATTTTATGGACTCTCATGTGCAAATCACTCAATGAGTGTCTGTGTCTGCCCTGCTGATTTATAAAGAACTAATTAGATTTCGATAATGTGCAGACCTAATTAGTTTTTGGTTGCAATCTATGCATGTGAATTGGCCAATTTGACTAGTTTTTCAATAAGCTGAGGGCTCTAGGATAATCCATGGATTAGATAGAGGTTGCAGTCGGCAGATGATCTAATTTGCCTTAGTAGGCACTATACACTGAATGGGCAATACATTAGTATTGAGACTCGACGATAATTGTGGTGATGGTGATTACATTTATTAATGTATATTATATCTCAAGTACTGTTGCCGATATGGTACATGCAACAAGGGCTATCATGAAGGCATCAGATATGCACATAACCATATATGGTCATCTGTTCTCATTATTATGCATAATTCTGATATCTAAAGAATTGCTGCAGATAGGTATGTGCAACCAATGCTATAATTGAGGCATCGGACAAGATATATATTATTAACATAGATGACCGTGTATGATCATGTGACCATGTTAAGATGCATAACATAATTATCTCAAGCCCTGTTGTAGATACAGATATCAACCAGGGCTGTTAAATGGTCATCTGACATGTGTCTCAAGTTCTGGCGCGGTTAGAAACATGCAACTTGCTATAAGGCCATTGGACCAGAAATATGGTTAACATATCTAATGACCATATATAATCACGTAATCTCATTATTATGCATATTCATAATATCCAGTATATATTGCCACTAGGCATGTGCAACCAAGATGATGTTTTGGCAAAAAGATATGACTAGCATATCAGATAGAACTAGAGCATCTTGGTTGTAACGCCTCTATGTTGGATGTACTGTACATCATTAAGCATGCAAAGCTGTTTGTCTCCAGAATCTATCTGGAAAGTATGGTGCAACTTGCTGACGACTGCTGTATCCTTTCTGCATGGGAAGTGGCCTGAGTACCGCTGACTACTGGATGCTGGGTCTGCTTCCCCCACTTATTGTACCAGGACCTTTGATTCAACTGTGTGATGACAAAAGGGGAGGCAAGTTCACCAGTGTAAGTGTAGCGAATATCAGAATTTCAATTGCCAAACTTGTTAAGGTAGGTCACCATCACCATCAAGACGTTGTACCTCACTAATACCCCTTTGCCTCTGATGTGGGAAAGAACTGTCCAGTGTGCTGCAGCTGAGTGTACTGAACGTCAAGCATAAGGTGCTGTATTTTGCCATCTTATATCATGTCATAGCCCAACTAACGAAAACATGTGATGGGTCTGTCAGTAGGCAGTTACATGTAGTCAATGATGAACCAATCAGAAGGCACTTACAGGAGAGAAAAGATGGGTATGTTAGAAGGCAGTTACATGTAGTCAATGATAGGCCAATCAGAAGGCACTTACAGGAAGGCAAAGATGGGTCTGTCAGTAGGCAGTTACATCTAGTCAATGATGAACCAATCAGAAGGCACTTACAGGAAGGCAAAGATGGGTCTGTTAGAAGGCAGTTACATCTAGTCAATGATGGACCAATCAAAAGGCACTTACAAGAAGGCAAAGATGGGTCTGTTAGAAGGCAGTAACATGTAGTCAAAGATGGACCAATCAGAAGGCACTTACAGGAAGGCAAAGATGAGTCTGTTAGAAGGCAGTTACATGTAGTCAATGATGGACCAATCAGAAGGCACTTACAGGAAGGCAAAGATGGGTCTGTTAGAAGGCAATTACATCTAATCAATGATGGACCAATCAAAAGGCACTTACAGGAAGGCAAAGATGGGTCTGTGTGAAGGCAGTTACATGTAGTCAATGATGGGTCAATCAGAAGACACTTACAGAAAGGCAACGATGGGTCTGTTGGAAGGCAGTTACATATAGTCAATGATGGGCCAATCAGAAGGCACTTACAGGAAGGCAAAGATGGGTCTGTTAGAAGGCAGTTATATGTAGTCAATGATGAAACAATCAGAAGACACTTACAGGAAGGCAAAGATGGGTCTGTTAGAAGGCAGTTACATCTAATCAATGATGGACCAATCAAAAGGCACTTACAAGAAGGCAAAGATGGGTCTGTTAGAAGGCAGTTACATGTAGTCAATGATGGACCAATCAGAAGGCACTTACAAGAAGGCAAAGATGGGTCTGGTAGAAGGCAGTTACATGTAGTCAATGATGGACCAATCAGAAGGCACTTACAGGAAGGCAAAGATGGGTCTGTTAGAAAGCAGTTACATGTAGTCAATGATGAACCAATCAGAAGGCACTTACAGGAAGGCAAAGATGGGTCTGTTAGAAGGCAGTTACATGTAGTCAATGATAGGCCAATGAGAAGGCACTTACAGGAAGGCAAAGATGGGTCTGTTTGAAGGCAGTTGCATGTAGTCAATGATGAACCAATCAGAAAGCACTCACAGGAACGCAAAGATGGGTCTGTTAGAAGGCAGTTACATCTAGTCAATGATGGA